CCCTCACCAGCTTGGTTGCTCTCCTCTGGACCTGTTCCAGCAACGCAACATCTTTCTTGTAGTGAGGGGCCCAAAACTGAATTGAGGTGCGGCCTCACCAGCACCAAGTACAGGGGCATGATCACTTCCCTACTCCTGCTGGCCACACTATTTCTGATACAAGCCAGGATGCCATTGGCCTTCTTGGCCACCTGGGCACCCTGCTGGCTCATATTCAGCCGGCTGTCAACCAGTACCCCCAGGTCCTTTTCCACCAGGCAGCTTTCCAGCCACTCTTCCCCGAGCCTGTAGCGCTGCATGGGGTTGTTGTGACCAAAGTGCAGGACCCGGCACTTGGCCTTGTTGAACCTCATACAGTTGGCCTTGGCCCATCAATCCAGCCTGGCCAGGTCTCTCTGCAGAGCCCTCCTCCCCTCCAGCAGATCAACACTGCCGCCCAGTTTGGTGTCATCTGCAAATTTACTGAGGGCACACTCAATCCCCTCATCCAGGTCATTGATAAAGATATTAAACAAGACTGGCCCTAGGACTGAGCCCTGGGGGACAATGATAGGAGTGGAATGTGTGTGTAATGCGCCCTTGCTTTCCCGTGCAGGATCACTGCCATTACCAGGGATACGTGGAGGGGACCCCGGATTCTGTGGTTGCTGTCAGCACTTGCTCAGGGCTCAGGTAGCACAGCTCATCTGTTGTGTCCCTGTTGTCACGTGAGTCTCACAGCTCGATGAACCTGGAACAAAATTCTTGCTCCGGTTTTAACTACTGTTCAGCCAGGCGGAGCGTCATCGACCGGGGCCGAGCTGCGGTAGTGTGTGCCTGTTGTGCAGTTTTCTGTGGTATCTTTTATTCGTGTAGTTAATAGACGTCTGAAATACCATTTTAAAAGTTGCAATTTGTTATCAGAGTACAGTAAGTCATTCTTTGACATCAATTTTGGCTTATTATCTAATTTGGTCACTGCAAAGAACTGTGCGTAGTGCAGAAATGGAAAGTCGAACACTAGGCTGCAAATGTTGACAAGATTGGCCCTAAAGCTTGTGCACATCAAATTCGATTGGAAGTTTTTTCTGCTTTGGGCTAATTTCCATATCTTTTGGGACTTTGATTTTTTTGCAGAGCCATGTCAGACACCAAAGTGGCACTAGTGATTGAAGCAAAGCATTTCTGCTTAAGGGCTGTGACTTAATTTCTTAGGCATTGCAGACTCTTACAGAAATGTTTAATTTGCTGTATTTGTGAGGATCCTATCCAGTGGAGGGCTGCTTTCAGGCTCTAAATGAAGCACGCTGTTTTGCAAGGACTGAGAGCTAGGCATGCCTTTAGTTATCAAAGAATAATTGTGCCTTTGTTTTACTGTAAAAATCTGGGTAACTATCCTCTGCGCTTAATGCAAGAATTTCTCACACGCCACCACATTTTAGGGGTTTGGTGACACTAGGGAACATCACCTATGGAATTGAGCCCATGGATTCCTCTTCTGGCTCCAAACACATCTTGTATCGGTTGGATAACGTAAAGAGCGAGCCCACCACGTGTGGGGTAACCACTGAAGGCCATGAAAGGGAACACGCAGAGGAAAATCACCATCCCAGCATGACTCAGCTCCTGCGAGTAAGTACTCTGCTGTTTTCTCCACAGTCCCCTACAAAGTGTTTTGTGAGTGTTCAGCTAAGAATATGGAAGCAGCTTATCCGATTCCCTGGGGTTTAACACATGCCTAAAGGTTTGTGATTCAGAGGGCTTTCTGTGCTGCTGAAGAGCTCGCTTGCTTCAACAAAGCCACTGCCATTTGCTTCTGGTTCTGCACCCAGCGGTGAGATTCCGGTGGCTAGTGAGATTATTCATGGGCAGAGCTTTTTGGGGCTTTTAAGGGCAGGAACACTGCCCTCATTGGAGAGGCTCATTAACAAAGTACTGCGTCAGAAGCCAGGAGAATATTGTGGTGTTTATTCCATTCTCCTAACCATCAGAGTAACAATTTGGTGTGAAGGTCCCCCGTGTCATTTAAAGGCGGGCTGTGCAGGAGCAAGATCACAGTAAAAGCAGCAGTATGAAAAACATTGTGTTTCAGTTCAAGGCTGTTGGCGTTTGGTGTTGGTATCTCTCTGCTCCTCTATAAAAGCTCATGCTGTCTGTCCAAAGAAACCTGTGGGAAAAGTAAAACAGTCCCTTGCTTTGGAAACACAGGAAATCTTTGTGCAGATAAATCTGAGTGTAAAACACTTAGAGAGAAATTGTCATTGCGTTGGATTACACTTCTTGGTTCTGGCTTGTTTTTGTCTTGGCGCAGTGTGCTTTGGGTGTGCCTCTCCAACCACTACTTGCATGAAGTGAAATATGACAATGTCGTGATTTTTTTTTTTTTTTTTTTTTTTTTTTTAACATTGAATTAATTTTTTTTTTTTTTTTTTTTTTTTTTTTGTTTACCATGGAATTAATAAAATTGAAATTGTCTAAAACTGTTTTCCGCAGAGAAAGAGAGCAGTCCTACATCAGACAAGATACGTGGAGCTGTTCATAGTTGTGGATAAAGAAAAGGTGGGGGCTGTGTGTTGCTTTCCCTTCCTTCTCCCCAGGAGATGGCTTGAAAAGCCCTCGGTCTTTGTTACCCCCGAATGGATCGTTGAAAGACGCTGACGCTTTAGCCAAGATTAGGCAGATATTCTAACCTCAAACTGAATAAACGCGTTCCGTGCAATTCTCTTCAGGAAGAGAGTAAACTGTCAGACACAGAGAGTTTCTGCCAGCAAGGGATCTAATAATGTAAGGAAAATGTGTGGCCAAAACTGCCCTTGCTGTTTTCTCTTGAATGTCGAGCTGTTGAGCAATAGCAACGAAGCGGCTGCTGTCTTGATGAGCGTCGTCTTGACAGGAGATTTGGAGCCAGGCAAAAATGTTTTTCGTGTTACTAGTCTTCAAGTGGTTTGTTTCTTTATCTAACTCTTGTCTTTATCTCTTCATGACTGAGTTTCTTTGTCTTGCAGTTTGAAGATTTTGGGAAGAGTGAAACAGAAGTAAGAGAGCACATGGTGCAACTGGCAAACTTCCTTGACAGCGTAAGTTCAAGCTGTGCTGGGCTAAGTGGGAGATGCTGGGTGCAGCAGCCCTGCAGCTCTGTTCCCTTGTGTAAGCCTCCACCTTGGAGCACGTTCTGCTACCGCTTTGGTGAGAATGAAATAAAGGGTTTTATCAAGCCAGGAGCTAAACCTGTTCCCTCGGCCATCATGTTGATGACTGACAGAGCTGAGAGTCATGCCTGCGCGTTGTGCTGAAGGAGTGCTGGAGGAGCAGGGGCTGCAAAGCGATGGCAGTGTTTACTGACAGCGGGCTTTGGTGAATGCATTGCTGTGAAAGCTCTGAATTCATCTGCAAGCATCACACCTGAGAACTGATCTAGGGAACTCTTCCAACCTGCACTACATGCAGTGAGAGACAGGACAGACTGTTGCAATTATTGCAATTCTGAAGTTTTTGTCAAGAAAAAGCGTGTCTTTCAACTTGACTGTTTCAGACGATGCTTTTTGGCAGGATTGAGTCTCCTTTTTATTTCTGTTTTTGGATTTTCCCAGTGATCCTGTAGCTAATGAAGGTCTGAATCACAGGGAAAATGCATTCTGGTGATCCGGATTGTGCACTCAATTTAAAAAACAGAACACCCAAACAGAAAAAGCAGACCCTTGCAATAAGACCTTGTGTTCTTATCTGAAGGTCTTCGGAAGCATTTATCCTTTTCTTTTCCTCCCCAGATGTACATCATGTTGAACATCCGCATTGTGCTGGTTGGTCTAGAGATTTGGAAGTATGAAAACATAATCAGCACGGACGGAGGTGCTGGTGATGTGCTGGCAAATTTTGTACAGTGGCGAGAGAAGAATCTTGTTTTGCGCCGGAGACACGACAGTGCCCAGTTTGTTCTGTGAGTTGCAGTTCCCTCCCTTTCACTCGTAAGAAGCTTATTCTATTCCTGTCCGCTCAGCTGTGCTCTAATAGCAGAAGTAGCTGTTGTATTTCAGCAGAGAACCCAGTGCAGTCTGCTGTGTTTATGTCCTTGTGAAAACATCCAAGTCAACTTAAGCATTTTTAAGAAGGTTTCTGTGATCCTTTAGTTCAGTGTCTTCTCTGGCAGGTATATTGCTCAATAACATTTTCTTCCCTGTCCAGCATGTCCTGCAGTGTTACATGTTCTGTTGTATTCAGCTTCCATGCAGATAATCCTTTGTCAGGTTGTACACTGGTTAGACTTGTGATCCAGGGCTTTGTCCGCCTGAAAATGTGCATAAACTTGGCGCAGAGTGTTGCATTTGAATTGAGCGAAAGTCTTTTCTGCAGTTGATATCCAGAAGCTGGCTACATGGCTTTGAGCTTTGGCACGTGACATTAATCTGTACGTCCCTACTGCCTTAAACCAGCACAGAGCTTCCTGAGCTGTCGTCTCTGCCCCGCTTCCAGGACGCCTGCCCCTGTGCACTTCCCGCTCCCGCAGATAACGCAGTCCTTAGGAAGTCACTGCCCAAAGTACAAGAAAGGGCAGAGGGGAGAGCACGCTTCGCACGGGGCGACAGCCCAGCCTGCCCCTGTGCAAAGCAGGAGCTGGGAGCCTCTTCTCCTCCGAGGCGGAACAGCAGCGTTCAGGTGATGAGGGTGAAATGGCTGAAAAAATACTCATCTTTAAAATTCTTTTATATGAAGTAAAATGTAGTGCGTTGTGCTGTTGCACTTAAGCTTTAAGAACTGGGTAGAAACAAAACGTGAGAGTAATGAAAAGGAAGGAAATCGGTGGGGTTTGGCAATAGTGGAAGGACAGCTAACAGCCAATTAAACCAAGTGATTATAAGGGTGGACCATTTAGCTCCTTATATTTAGAGGGAAGATGTGGAAGAGGATAACTTTCTCTGCAAACTCTTGTCTTAGTTTAAAAGAATAAAAGAACCGTGAACAGCAAGACAAAGCTGAAGGGGTGCATTCACAACCCCAGTCAATCGTAGCGCTCCTAGCAGTGCTCTTCTGTTAGTGCCGGAAAGCTGGGAACGGCATTTTGTGCCCCACGAGCAGAGTGATGTATCGCGTGGCTGTGTGGATGAGCTGGACCGTCGGCGGTACCGCGTGTCTGTACAGCTGGGGTCATTGCCTTTCCTTTCTCTCCCCGTGACTGCAGGAAGAAGGGGTTTGGTGGCACGGCTGGAATGGCCTATGTTGGAACAGTGTGCTCCAAGAGCCACGCGGGAGGCATTAATGTGGTGAGATGTCTTTAGCGATACTCTGAATGTGATCAGGATAAGAGTTTTGCATTCCAGAATTCTTCCTGGAAGTGCACAATCTTTAATAACAAAGCTGAAGTGGCTTAATGGGGGCTTTTATGTGGTCCCCAACCATTTCTGGCGCTTCTGCGATATCTGGATCGCAGCTTTTCTGTAGTCTTCTGCATCTCCTGCTCAGCCTTCCCTCTCCTCAGTGTGCAGCACTCACAAAAAAGGCACAGGATTTCTCTGCTGACATTTGAAGCACCCCTGCCTTAGAAGTATGCGATAGCTATGGGTGTTCTCAGGTCTGTCCTGTGGTGTCTGCTTGACCTCCACAGTCGTGAACTCCTGGAGCAGCGCTGGTTGAGTGCCCTCTTCATGTGAAACTGCAGAGTGTTAATGAACTGGATTGCTGATTTCGGGTAACTGGCAATCCCAGCAATCTTGTTTTCTTGGACTAGTGACAAGTATTGGAATTGGAGTTTGCATATTTCAGGAGATTTGGGCTGGTGTGAAGAACTCCAGCTTTTGAGTTAATGTTGCAGCTGCACTGGAAAGTAGAGGTTGTTCGGTAGTGTCCCAAACACGTTTATCTCCGGGCTCTTATTACTAAGCAAATGGCGTGCACGTGGTTGCACAGCAGGCACTGTTGGTCTGAGAATCCCGTTGATGTAGAGGCAGAATGACAGAAGTGTCTTTTTGCACATCAGTAAACAATGACTGTTTCGGTGTAAGCTGTCTACTGATTTTTGGCTGTTTTGCTCTTGTGCAGTTTGGAAGAATCAGTATACAGATGTTTGCATCAATTATGGCGCACGAGCTGGGACATAACCTGGGGATGAACCACGATGATGAGCGGGTCTGCCACTGCGGAGCGAGCAGTTGCATTATGAGCTCTGGAGCATCGTAAGTAACTGACAAAAGGGAAGGCGTTTCCCAAGGGTCAAAAGTCCCCACCCAGGCACTTAGTTTTTACAGGTTGCTTTCATCTTCAAAGTGCTCTTGCAAAGTCATGCTTGCAGCTTATGGGGAAAGCAAATGTTACCCTTGTCCTGCAAACCGAGGGAATGCTGTGGGTTGACTCAGAGAAGCTCATGATCTCTCTTGCAGGGGATCGAGGAACTTCAGCAGCTGCAGTGCAGAAGACTTTGAGAAGCTGACTCTCAACAAAGGTGGAAGCTGCCTGCTCAATGTTCCCAAGCCCGATGAAACCTACAGCGTCCCGTACTGTGGGAACAAGCTGGTAGATGCCGGGGAGGAGTGTGACTGTGGTTCACCAAAGGTCGGTAGCTGGTGTGTTTTACAGGTGCTGCCAGGGCAGCCTCGCGTGCCCCTCGCTGGGGAGGGCACTGTGCGTGGCGCAGGGTGCGGTTTCTTGACATTCACAGCACTTCTATTTTCAGGAATGTGAAAGCGATCCTTGCTGTGAACCAGGTACTTGCAGACTCCGACCTGGTGCTCAATGTGCTTATGGTGACTGCTGTAAAGACTGCCGGGTAAGAGACTCAAACGTAGTATCTGGAAGTGTTCTTCAGTGGTTGAGAGGAGGAGAGCATTATCCTAGCCAGTGCATTTGAGAGGGAATCGCCGTGCATGTACGCAGCGCCCACCCAGGGCTCCAGATCAGTGCCCTTTTTTGGGGGTATATCGTGGGTCGGGTGCAGTGTTCGTCTCTGCTGTAAGGTTTCTATTATCTGATGCAGTCTCCCCCTCCTCTCTCTCTTTAGTTTCTTCCTGGAGGAACCGAGTGTCGGGCGAGTAGCAACGAGTGTGACCTCCCAGAGTACTGCAACAGCACGTCCCAGTTCTGCCAGCCGGACTTCACCGTTCAGAACGGCCACCCGTGCCACAACGAGGAAGCCTACTGTTACAATGGCGTTTGCCAGTACTACGATGCACAGTGTCAGGATATCTTTGGCTCAAGTAAGGAAGAGCACAGCGTTGCAATTTTTCTAGGAGACGTAGTGAAAAGAATACACTGAGTTTATTTAAAATATATGTACTTGTTTTCTGGTAACAAAGACCAGCTGGCTTTGGCAAAGGATTTGAAATAGTGGTGTTCATGGCTTAGCCTTCACGCGTTCCTCCTGTGTTACATTTAATGCTGTGCTTGTGTTTAAGCAGTAATTTTCTTGCACCGATCACTTCTATTACTGTGGGGTTTCCAGTGTATGGGGCTGTAAAGAAGCCACGAAGAAATAGCAAATGGTAAACTGGCTCGATGTTAAGGGACTGTTTTTCGCTCTCTTTGTACACTTAGAACCTTGTAGTGTTGACATTTGCACTTTACTGCTTTTGATCGAGTTCTGAAGCTCTCTGTGCTGCTTGGAAAACGCGAGGTGTAGCAGGGTAATTGCTCTGGGCACCGGAGGCGTGATGGTATGAGATGTGTCTGTCCCTGTTTAACTTGGCTCCTCTGTCTGGGGGTGGGCTGTTGTTTGCAGAAGCCAAAGCAGCCCCCAACATTTGTTTTGCTGAAGTGAATTCCAAGGGTGACAGATTTGGCAACTGTGGTTTCCATGGCCATGACTACAAGAAATGTTCCAGCTGGTGAGTGGAGCCCAGTGCATCAGGAAGTTCCTAAATGCATCATTGAGCATCCTTATTCGGGTGCTGTGGCGTTATTTTGGGGGGTTTTAGCAGGTGCACTGGGGAGAGACACGTTATCCCGTAATCTGACTTTATTGACATGTACGCATTGTTCTGAAACCAGTGAGGTAGCCTAGAAAAGGTGTGGTTTGTCCTCATTTCTGAAGCTGTTACTAGCACTTACAGCCCCCACACTTGGACGTTGTAAGTTTTGTTGACTTTTGTGTTAGGTTGTCTGGCCTTAGCTCTTGCACGTAACAGCTGAGATGAGTTTGAATGTTAAGGCAGTTCTTCCATAGCTGGCTTTGAAGCTTTCGGGCTCGCGCCGCCGTTTCCCAGGTGTGCGGTGTCCTGTGGCCTCAGGGGGGCTGTGCGTCGTGCGTTCAGACGTGGGGCTGTGGGAAGGAGGATGTGTTCCTCATCTCCCATCACTGATCTTATCCTAAGGTGTTCACATACAGAAAATGAGTAGCAAATGTTTTCTTTACTGTAAAGACCCCGACAGCTGACAGGGATAAATCCATACTCTGCAGCACTGAGACGGGGCCCGGCTCAGTTTTGTTTGGCGAGCTGCCTCAACTTTATTTTCACGTAGCGTCTTCCATTAGGAAGGAAAGACCATATCAAATGTGTGATAGGCTCTTTCTCGGAATAAATCCAAGTGTCACTACAGTGTTCATGTGTTGATGTTGTAGGAATGCCATGTGTGGGAAGCTGCAGTGTGAAAATGTGAAAACTATGCCTGTTTTTGGAATTAAGCCTGCTATTATCCAAACTCCCATTAGAGGCACCACGTGCTGGGGTGTAGATTTCCAGCTGGGCTCCGATGTCCCAGACCCAGGAATGGTGAATGAAGGCACCAAATGCGATACTGGAAAGGTAATTAACGATTAAAATGTGATTTCTTAAAGTAATAATTCGGGGGTTTCCTATGGATAAAATGTTCAGCTGCATTGCTTCGTGAATATTTCTGGCCGTTATTTTTTTGATGCCTGTAGCTAATGCAAAACTGGGCGAATCCACTGGTTCCCCGCGCTGCCTAGTACTGCAGTGCATGTGCATAAAAAATGTAATGAGCCTTTCATTTATAGATGAAGCCAAAGCAATTAAGTTTGTTGAGAGCCAGAACCTTTGCTCTGGCAATGAACAGGAAGAGCTAGGTGCACACAAATGCCTTTAGGACAACTTCCAATTAAAATCCAAGTAAGCTAAAAAGCCCAGAGGCGTAGCCCCAGCAGAGGAATGTCCATTCCACGTATCCTTACTGTGTACAATAGAATTGCTGTTCCTTTACGTTCAGAGTAGAGACAAAAGGCTTCCAGTGACAGCTCAGACCCCCTACTGAGAAGCCTTTTGTAGGAGAGGCGAGTTTCTGTAGAGCTGGGGTTTATTTGGGGTTTATCACGTCCGAGACCTGCTTTGTGGTCGGTGAGCACAGAGCGGCTGGGGAGAGGGCAGGGGGAACGCGGGAGGGGAGGGAAGGGGTAGGTCTGGGAAGGGCTATCGTGCTTCATTCGTGTGCATCTCAACTCCCCCAGATCTGCAGGCACTTCCAGTGCGTGAGTGCCTCCGTTCTGAACTACGACTGCGACGTGGAGAGGCAGTGTCACGGACACGGGGTGAGTGGGTCCTGCTGATCGCCCACTTGCAATGCACGCTAAGTCTGTACGTTTTGATACAACAGGCAGCATTTCTATAGGGTCCTCTGACCTCTTTGTTATGAGAACACTGGATTTTTAGCCCAATGACTGCAAATACACAGACTTTCTTTACCAAAGGTTTGAGCCGGGTACGCTGTACCGGTACCTAGTCAGCAGTGTCTATGTACCAGTCTCTTTTGCACTTAAGAAGTCTTTTGCCCTTCTCTGTTTAAAGGTGTAACTAATGTGGAATAAAGTAATCACAATGCTAGATGCAGTGATTAAAAAAAACCTGTGGGGTTCTTGAGGATGGGTTTTGCTATAAAAAGCTGCTTTTTGGTGCTGTTAATGAGAAAAGTCAGCAAAAATTGGAGCAAGTCTTAAAATGATGGAGAGTAACTTAATTTTTCTGTTTTGTTTAACTGTGAAGCCCGCTATAAAATGTCTCTGGGCAAGACAGCCTATAACAGTAGCAAAAAAATCTTCTGACAAAAGCTCTTAAGATAATATATTTTTGCCAGGCAAGAAGAATTCCCAATTCCAATATTCCTAATGCAATTTGAAACTTTGCATCTCACAAAAAGGTCATGCTCCTTACGCCATTGGGACAGCCCATCTTTGGAAGCTCGTCCTGAACACCGCCGTGCTTGCTCGGTCCTGTGAAATCTTGAGAGGCCTGGCCAAGGGCTGTTTGGAGCTGACGTGGGAGTTACCGGTTACAGTTCTCCAGGCTGAGGGATAGGGAGGGGACAGGACAGACGGCCACGCTACTGCACGCTGCTTTTAAACGTTCGGGAACGTCAGTTCCTAGATAGACCTCATCGTGGCGTTTGTGTTGTTTGAATACAGGTGTGCAACAACAACGGGAACTGTCACTGTGAAGCGGGCTGGGCCCCTCCTTACTGCGACACGAAGGGCTACGGGGGAAGCCTGGACAGCGGACCTCCGTACAATGGCAAGCAGCAGCAGGGCAGCTCTGGAGCCGCGGGCCCGTCTCGCTCGGGGTGGTGCTGGGCAGAGTGCGGCGTGCCTGCGGAGCAGCTAACTTCTGGTGGTGGTTGGCTCCTCACCAGGTGTCATTTGCAGACGGTTCCAGTTAAGGTTGTGGGCTCAAGGTGTTGTGCTTCTCTCTTTTGGGACTGTGGGGATCTGTGAAGAAGCTGGGCTGGTTTAATTGCCTTCAGGTGATTTCTGCCACCTTGGACCAAGATCCTCTTGGAGTTCTTTGTATCCAAGCTGGGAACTGAAACCCCTTCCATTCTTAGACCCAAACAAAACATGCAATTTGGCTGAGGACCTGGGTTCAAATCCATGGATGTGAATCAGCATCTCCATAAGGACCTGCTGCTCTAGCAGCAGTGGCAGAGATGAGCAGCTGCCCTGTTCTGGGAGCTGCAGGGAGCTGCATGTGCATCTGCAGTGCAGTCAGGACTAACATCTGGCTGAGGGGGGCGAGGGCAAGGCACGTCGGCAGGTCACCATTTTAATAATGTTTATCATTTGAGTGCAGACAGCACGCTTCGTTTGGTAGTAAATACAAATGTAGTCCCTGCCCCAAACAACTTGCGGTATAGAAGAGAGGTACACGATAAAGAGACGGGGAGACACAGAGGTTTGTGGCACTACGTTGTTTGCAGATTTCCGGTTCGCTTTTTTTTTTTTTGGTGGAGGGAAAAGATGGGTTGGGGAGGGAATTTTTGTGGGGTTTTTATGTGGTTTTTTTTCCCCAGGGAAGGTATAAGGCCAGTGTTTGACGTGGCAAGATGATGTGTCTGTGTCCTTGGAAGACAGATGTATCTGTGTTTGCGTGTGAGGAGCAGGAGAATGGTGCCTGGGGCAGGGGAGCACAACTCATGCACGTGTGAAAGCAAACGGAGCGAGGCTGTGAGGCTTGCCTTTCTCACTGACAGTTTGAAGACAAAATAGGAAGCCAAAGCCAAGCTATAATTTGGAGAAAACTTGTGCAGTGCCCGTGTGGAGTATGTGAGGATGGGATTGATGCAGCCCATTGTATGAGCTGCAGGAATGATCCTGAAGGCTGTTTTTCACAAGACGATGTGGGTTTGGGGGGAAGCTGGACACTATTGACTTGGGGTAAGTGATAACAGACTGGAGAATCACGCTGAAGCATGGACAGATGCCTCAAATCATCAGGCAAAAAAAGAGGCTGCTTTTGTACAGCCTGCAGTGGAGAAATTTGCTGCATATAGAAATGTAGAGATTGTTAAGAACCTGGGTTCCTTGCCTACAGCAAACAGTGGTAGGAGGAGAGGAAGATTTAGGATCAGACCAAAGGGCAGGAGCTCTTCTTTCCTCTCTTTCAGTTGAGCTTCACAGCAACGTAGTGGAAGAAGAATTAGGTATTGACCTAGTATTCAATATGTTGTTATAGCCAGAGTATCGTGGCACATACAGTTCTCTCATCTTTGACCAGACGATCCCTCGCAAAGATCATCAGAAAAGATCATATTTGGGCATATATTGTGCAGTCTGACTGGACACTTTAGTTTTTTCTGCTATGAAAAATGGAAAATAGTTGTAGAACCAACCCTACCAAATATTCACTGCTCAAATGAGCCAAGTGGTGGTAACGCCGTGTAATGCTCTCTTTCCTTCTCCATCGTTTTGTCCCCATCAGACAAAGACACCTCACTGAGGAACGGGCTGCTGGTGTTTTTCTTCCTGGTGCTCCCACTCCTGATAGCTGCTGCGCTGGCGTTTGCAAAAAGAGACAGGCTGAAGCGATGCTGCAGAAGGTTGATGTCACGCTGCCATTCGTACGTACACGCTCCTTTTTAACTCCACCTCTGCCCATTTGAAGCAGCCCATAGACATTTGTTTACGCAAGCTGATGCCAAAGTACGGAGGTGTGTTCAAGTCCCAAGATGGTTGGCAAAGGCCCCTGCATCAAATGGTACCTGTAGCTTGCCCAGGGCAATGATGGAAAAGATAAATCCATCTTAAACTGAGGGAGCAGAAGACTTTCTTTTTACCATTACGTTTGTTGTTGTGCGTTGGTGAGGGTGTTGCGGTTTTGGGTCCCATCTTCGGTATAAAGTGGCAAAACAAAGCTGTCGTGGTCCTAAACAGAAAAAGGGTTATGTTTGTTAGGTTTGTGGCAAACCCTCTCTTCCTGGCGCTTGGTACGTGCTGAGATGCGATAACTCCCTCTGGCGGGTTCAGAGTGCTTGGACTCACAGCCTGCGTAGTCGTTCTGTCACGGTCAAGGTTGTGTGCTCACACAGTCCCTATCCGTTGGATTTCAGGTCACTGCAGTCGCCACCTCCTAGGACAGAAGCCGAACCCAGAGACTACCCCCAGAGAGGCTTTTCGCACGGCATGCCTTACCCTCCAAGAGGCGTACCCATGGTAGGCACGATCCACTCCCCGTTGCTGTTTGCCCTGTGTTTCCCTGAAGTAGCGGGTAAAGGCAGTTTATAGCATTTTTGCCCTAATAAAACCTTTAAAGTTACTTTATTTTTTTTTCATTTCTGCAAACCGAGTTTTCTCTTTGCTAAGAGGCAAAGAGAATAATTATTTCCTACAGGGTGTGTGGGGAACTCCTCGGTTTCCCTGTTGTTTAAGCTTTTTTACAGGCTGTGCTTGGCTTGGCAAGCAGTTTACCGGCTTTGCCACCCCCTTTCCCTCACAGCGGAACCCCCTGCCCCACCTGGGGAAGCCCCACTCCGTTGCAGACGCATTCTCTCTCAATGCAATCATTGACCAGAGCGTGCTTGCAGGACAAATCAAACGCTCATCGTGATCAGCCGTTCTGTTTTTAACAAAGCGCAGTACTTTCCAGACTGCTCTTGCTTCTTTCTACTGAGTTCCTCAGAAGGAAAGAGCGCCTCTGACATTTCCAGGTTCTTAGCTAATGAAACAAATATTTGAATTCCCTGAGTGCAGATTTGTGAACGTTCTCGCCGTGTTTTCTTTGTAGGAATTGGAGCCAAATACCTTCCCTGTCCCATCTTACCCAGTTAACCAGCACCCTCAGCAGGCTTACCACCAGGCTTACTACCCGTCTCCGCAATACCAGGCACCGCAGGCACCGAAGCTGCCGACAAGGTTGGTCGAGTTCCTGCAAATAACTGTTGGCAGATTGTCATTGCCTTCGTCTCTGTAAGCGTTAGGGTATCCCGTCACGTATCGTGTGCAAGCAGGACTGGCCGTTTATTGACAGTTTCGTACGGTGGAACTGAAGTGCTGTTGCCCATAGCATTCATTTTGCACACTGTCACGGCTACGTTTTGATTAACAGCTTTCGGAATGCTTTTCTGGGGCCAGATCAGCCCTGCATACTGGTGAATAAAATGCTTCTCACAATATGCAGTTTAAAAAGAAATTACTCCAAAGTCTGTCGTTTCAGTGATTCAGGAATGTTACTGCCAGGTACCGGATCATTTCTCATTAACTTTGAAGAGAAAGTTTTCCTTCATTTTTCATTTTACTTTTAAATTGCATTTCTGAGATGTAATGCCTGTGCCATAAGCCACGCGCATCCAGAAAGCACAAGGTGTCGGGGGGGGGCTTAAAAGAGCTTGTGTTGATGGGAAACGCATGGGGGTTTTTAAACCCCTTTGGGGAAGATGGCATGTGACCAAGTGGGGTTCCCTGAGGATTTCAGGCAGTGGAAAGCAGAGCCCGACCATGGCGCGCTGGAAACGAGTCTTCAGCGGCGCACCTCGGGGACCTCCTCCGCCACAGCAAAAATGTTTACCTCAGGGACAGTACTTTCCTTCTCGACCGGCACCGTTGCCTCCCAAATAGCTTTTGGCTTCTCTGGGGCCTTCGCGTGAGCTGACCTGTTCACTGAGACAGCCGAAATTGCAGTTACCCTTCTTGCGCCGAGTGGCCCGTGGGGGTCCCGGGAAGCCTTCCTTCTGCGGCCTGGGATAAGGCAAACGAGATATCGAAACGAGGAATGTAAAACTTGAAACTAAATACCTCTACCAAAGCTACAGGGGCTGAAACCATCTGAGCCGTCCTTCGATCTGCCTGAGTATCGTGGCTTTGTAAACGGCAGCCGGGCTGCCCGGCTGGAAGCGGAGTGGCCTGCAGCTAAATAATCTCTAAAGCGCAGCGCTTGGGAGTCGCTTTTGGTTCCCCCATTCCTGCGAGGAGCCCTAATAACGAAATGGTCTGGTTTGTTGTCGTCTTTCTTAAACGTCCAGTGGAGAATTCAAGTACCCCATACTGCCTTCAAAACAAGGAAATCCGGCCAGTTAAGTTAAAATTGTTTTGCATGGACTGGGAAACGTTACCTATTTACACATTGATGGCACAAGTGGAATAAGGTATCGGTGTACTTCTTCGAGAGGAAGATAAATATATCGTAAACATGTTTATGCATGTATATATGTTCATTGGTGTGTAATAATGCACTTAAATTCTTACTTCCATGCTGACTGACACTAAGCTGTGCTATACGAGCACTAAGTTTAATGGTTTTAAATTAGTAATTGTGAGTTGCTAAACGAGAATCCTCTACTAATTTCCACTAATACCCTGATTAAGCAATGAAAGGTACGGAAAGCCAGGGCCAAATTTTGTTTTTAAGCAACGGGCTGCTCTTAGGTTTTAATTTGGGCCCAAAGACTGAGTAGCAGTCCCCACAGAACACCGGGAAGCAAGAAACGTCTTTCGGCCCAGACGGCCTGAGCTGCTCCGAGCACTTTAAACGGGAGCCTGTTGGCAAACGCGGCGTTTGCACCCAACCCTCCGCCCTGTGCCGTGTCAGGGCGCTCGCAGGCGAACTTCCCTCCGATGGGGGTGCCGCCCGCTTCCGCACCGCTGCCTGAACGAGGCTTTGCAACCCCTCCTGAGCAGGAGCGTTGAGCATTTGGTGCGCTGGCCGAGAGAGGAGGTCTGGGAGGCCTGGAGCCGCTGTGCCACGGGTAGGAACATGGGTGCTGGCGGTCACAAACAGGAACCTGCTGCACAAACTCACCAAAAGCGAAGTAAGTACTGAAGGGAGCGCTTGGCTTTTCACTTTGTGCTAGCACCGAGTGCAAACTCGAGCTGTAAAATCCCCCATAATATTGCCAAAAACCCCCCTTTTCCTCTGTATATGCATATATAAATATATATATAGTGTTTGCATTTGCAGTAATAAATACTTGAACTCCTGTGATTTCCCATAAACTTAGACTAAGATCTAGAACATTATTAAAATACGTAAAGCGTCACCTAGGATATCACCGGGCGTATTTGTGGGGGTCTTCTGCTTGTTCCAAGATAATCACTTCCTAATTTTTGTTGTGTTCTACTCCGTTTGGGCTGTCGGCAAGGCTGAGCCCTGCAGCTGAGGAGGTGGGTGCTGGGGCAGCCCGGCCGGGCAGCTCGGGGCGCCCCTGGGCCGAGGGTGGGGACGAGAGGGGGGAATCCGGGGATGGAGTCATCCGAGAGAGACGTTCTTGGTTGTGTTTGAGGCTGTATGTGTGAACTAAAACTATGCTGAAAACGGTGCCTTTTAATAGATAGAGTTTTTATACTTCCAGCGTGCACGGTAGCGCTATGGGCCGGGTGGGGCGCGGGGCAGTGTACGGGGCTGGTTTCGGAAGCGATCCTATGGGGAGGAAATAGCTCGGATTTTACGCGTGTTCGATATTGAAGATGACTACTGACTTTCTTTTTTAAAGTGCGCGCTTATCCCTGACCCCGACTGTCCGGGGGGGGAGCGGGGCCGCCCCGCACCCCCGGGCCCTCCCACCGGGCCGCTCCCTCCCC